CAACTCACTTTCCCAGACTAACTCCATCAAGCACCAATTCCTCAAGTGTTGTAGATTTCTTGATAATTCTAATGATGATTTCACCAACATCTGAGTTCTGTGAAACAAAAATTTTGCATCACGAGAAAATAAGATACCATTTGACGAATCCTATAAATCACCCTCCCAGTATTAACTAATGTTGTTTTGCATAACAATTGGTGGTAAGTGGTGATGCTTTTGAATTTTATCCATTCAACACTTAGGGGGAGTAGGGTTTGAGGGAAACTTGCTTCATAATAGAATTGGGTTTCCTGTGTTATCAGGCTCTCACTTGAGGTAGGTACAGTATTCTACTGATTGTAGTTGTAGCTAAAATATGAGGGAACAGGATGCTACATTTTGTGGGTTGTTTTCAATCTTACCAGTTTGAATGATCTGCAGACAAGTTTGGTGAACCAGGAGTTATACTCAAGAACAGAAATAATTGGAATCAAATCCCTGGAGGAAGAAGGTTAGTATGACAGTTATTTCAGCATTTGTGCTGGATTCCCAGGAAAAAAGGGCTTTTCAAGGAGTATACAAGAACAAAACTTTGAATTTTCAAGGACATTCAAAACTTGTTGTTGCACTCGACAAAGGAGTCAACAGTCAATGCCTCCTTATCCCCTCCCCTCCCCCCCCCCCAAATGGGATCATTTCTTTGTTCATGGTTACTCATTTAGCATACCCTGCAGATTTTCCAGGTAACTACAGGTAGCCCAAATAACCAAAATTTCTGTAATAACAATGTTTTTTCAATCGATTAGATTTACTGAATTTTTATGTTATYTATTTATCTCAATTTCAAACCAAAATCACATCGTTAACAAAATATATTTTTACTTTTCAAGGAGTATTCAAGGACTTTTTATTTTTTCAAGAGGTTTTCAAGCACCCTTGAATTCTTATCATAAATTCAAGGGCTTTTCAAGGACTTCAAGGACCTGCACGAATCCTCTTTTATATACATATATACAATATTGTTTATTCTAGTATATAAAAGTAAAAAGAGAAAACATACAATATTTTAAATGTTAAAATATATCAAAATAAAGAAAGTACCCAAATAAATGTTAGAATGAATGAATTCACAATCATAAAAACAATCAATCCATCCATGGAAGGAGCAAGGAAAGGAGAGAGGAAGTGAGGAAAGGGATGGGGGATCAATTAATTTAAWAAAAWAAAATWWAAAAAATAATGGATAAATAGGATAGGATAGATGGATGGAGGAGCATCTATCAACTTGGGATAAATATTCAATCAGCTTTAACTTACTTTTGGTCAAGATGATCAAAATCCTGAAGGTTAAATTCTTTAGTGTCATGTGACAAATAGATTGTATCAACATCCTGAAAGACAAAAGGGTACAAAATATCAGAACAAGACATGCTTCTGATTTTATCAACACCATTAAACAACTTCTGGGCGGATCTAAGTCAGGGCACAGCTAACTCACAGATTAAACCCTGAAACAACTTCTGGGCTGATCAGAGTCAGGGCTTAGCTAACTTACAAATTGAACCCTGAAACAACGACTTGGCTGATCAAAGTCAAAACATGGTTAACTCACAGATTTAGTTGTCATTTAGCATGTTAGGTTTTGCTAAGGGAGTAAAAAAGATGGAATATGCTGAGAAAAATATGTCAATCAAGGGACAGGCTTAGAGGCAAGTGCAACAGTGCTATGCGCCTCCATTTATTCCCTTATAAATCCTTGATAAATACAAATAAGCCAGTTGATATGTTGTACATTATTTAAAGACTCTCTCTTACCCAAGCAACTTCTTCTAGGTATTGTGTTCCATAGTAATTACACATACAAGCATAGACTTTAGAAAATCCACCTGTGAAAATRAATTAGAAATCAGAAATGATGACTTTTGCTTTGGAAGAAGTGTTACTAACAGAAGCACTGCTAAATCTCATTTTTTAATAAAGGTCACTTTTCAGGGTTAAAAMTTACAGCTGCTCAATGGCCAGACATGATGACTAGACAAATTGGACTGAYCAACATGTGACCAGTCAATGTGACTGGTCAAGAGGACTGGCCTAAGAGCCGTTTGGCCAGATACTGTAAGTGGATTTTTGGTCAAATGACTAACCACATTGGACTGATCAATATGTTACCCAACAATGTGACTGGTCAAGAGGACT